CATGTGTATGACATTGGTCTAATACGTGGGTCTGTGCTGTACACAATCTTGAGGCTTTGCTGCTCTTTCCTATAGTAGTTACTTGGTAATGGGTGAATTTAATAGGGAATTGACGACGAGTCTGATTGGCATGGCTTTCAAGTGGTGTTACTAGTAGCCCTGTCATGTTTATTTGGTTTAGCAATATCCTTCTTTGAATTTTCTTGCCGTAGAACGATCTCTGCAGTAGGATTTACTGTTCTTGGCATTGTGAACAAACTTTTGACAATAGTGATAAGTCTAGTTATATGGGATAAACACTCCAAACTTATCGGAACACTGGGGCTGTTGATCTGCATGTTTGGTGGCGTCATGTACCAGCAGTCCACAACCAACAAGCCCAAGGCCATGAAAGATGTAAATCCACAAGTATCTGATGAGGAGGAGCAACACAAGCTGCTTGAAATGCAAAGCAACATGCAGGGCAGTGACAATCAGAAGCAAGGTACATAAATTGGGAGATTAGAAATGGAGGTGCGCCATAATAGCCCATCTCCTAATTTAATTTAGGAATCTCTTGAATAGAATAAATCGAGGTGCGCCGTGCTAAACAAAAATGACAATTGCATGGCCCTCGTTTTAATTAATCTTCGTTTTAATCCTTAGAATTCGAGGCGTGCCATTTAGCAAATTCCATGGCCCTCGCAAAGTGCAAACGCGTAGTTGCTTTAGGTGCGTATTTAATAATCTACTTTCTTAAACTCGGGTGCACATTTATGTGACCCAAATCCAAATCTCAACAATGTTAAAGTATGTCAAAAACCACGGGTGCATTTATGTGACGTGGTTCGAGACGTATTTTAATAACGCTGCAATTTTCTCTAAAAAATGGATAAAAGCGGTTAAAACTAAAATTTGCACATAGGTTCATAATTGTTTAAAATCAGATAATCAAGTCGAATATGACAGTTGAGCGACCGTGCTAGAACCACGGAACTCGGGAATGCCTAACACCTTCTCCCAGGTTAACACAGTTCCTTACTTGGATTTCTGGTTCGCGGACTGTTAAACAGAGTCAATTTTTTTTCCTCGATTCGGGATTCAACCGGTAACTTGGGACACCATAAATCTCCCAAGTGGCGACTCTGAATCTTTTAATAACAAATCCTGTTTCGATTGTCCTTTAATTAGAATAACTCCTTTATACACTTTTACGGGGGTGTAGGTAAAAAGAAGGTGTGACAATGATTGTTTTGAAATTTAACTAAGCCACATTTTCCAGGAGGGTCCTGAAAGTTTTACGGTCAAACCTGTTTGGTGCTTGCTCTTCCCCTACGGAGAGTTCCTCCGAAACAAACGAAATTTTATGCCCCTGTTTCAATCAAAGAAAAATTTGTCAGTTTGAAATATGGTGGTTAGTTGATGGCATTCTTGCTGAAAGTCTCTTCGCTGCCGTGCTTTGTTTTGGCCTGCTTCTTCGAATTGACCTTGAACTGCTTGCCTTTCTGACTGACCTCAAACCTCATGAACTTTGATGACCCGAGTGTTTTATACCCAAACCCCTGCTTTACATCTTTGACCCCTTTATCTGAGCCTTTGCATCTCCCCTGAAGTTACCAAATCATTCCACCGATGAAACTTCCGGTGACTCCTTATATCCCACTTTACATCATGCTATCTTTGGTATGTTCTGGCCACACTGTGCTTTGCATTTTGGAAGCTGGTAGTGAGCTTTGAAATCCTTTCTTATTTGCTTTGAACAAGACTGACATGGAACATCTTAGAGAAAACAAAACCCCAAAATAAATGAAATGCAATGACCTTGAGAGTTAAGGATAAAGAAAATCCAAAACAGGACGACTTGCTAAAAGGAAAAAGAAAAAGAGACTTATTTGAGTGGGACAACTGGTACCATTGATCCTGACATGCATTTTGGATTAACCGGCCCAATCTGTCCAACCAATCAACCTTCAGTTGCCATACTTTGTTGCCCCGGAATTCCATAACCTGATTTCTTCACCCAAACCTTAACCTTGTTTACCCTGCGGTGCCCTGTAAGGTTTTCACCAACAGACTTCTCTCATTTGTCCATCTCTCAACTCACTTTCGCCTTATGGTGCCTGTGAGGGTTTTCACCAATAAGACTCTCTCATTTTTCATTTCTCTCAGCCCCCGTCGCTTTACGGTGCCCGTGAGGGTTTTCACCAATAAGACTCTCTCATTTTTATTAATTTTCCTGCTTGGACCGGAGGGTTGCCCCTGATACAGATCACCTCTACTTTCTCGACTTGGCATTTCCCGAAGACTGATCAGAAGGTCTTTCTTTGGATCGTAACGTGGGCTTTTGGATAGGTCTAGAAAGAAAGGATATCAAAGGCTCAAAACAATTCAGATGGGTTCAAAATTACAACTTCCGAAATCATATTTCTTACAACAACCACAACTTCTGCCCCAGTTTCTTGCTTGGGGACTTTTGGATTTTTGTTTTGATGGGACCGAACCGTGAGGCTGCCTACGTATCCTTAAAAGGAATCAAGTCGAACGTAGTTCATGTCATAGAAATTGCTTTTGCTGTTGTGATTTTCCTTTCTTTTCTTTAACCTTCTCTTATTTTCTTTTGTTTCTTCTTTTCTCCTTTTGTTGTTTTTTTTTCTTTGTTTTTTTTCTTTTCTACTCTTTTCCTTTTCTTCTTCTTTTTCTTCTCATTTTCATTTTTGTTTTCTCTCTTTTCCTTTACTTAATATTTACGCTTACGTTTCTGATCTTTGCTACTGATTCCAAAAGAGGGGTATGGAAGGAACTAAACAAGGCTCAAAATGGGAAACGAGGGATAAAGTGTTTAGATAGCAGAACAAAATGCCTTCGTCATTCCAATCTTCAAAACATGCCAAGTACAAACAAATACAATAAAACCAAAGAAGATCATACATATATCTTTTGACCGCATCGGAATTGATGGCCATTTCAACACATTTGCCTTCTATGTCTGTTAAATTCAAAGCACCATTGGACAACACTCTCGTCACGATGAACGGGCCCTGCCAATTTGGGGCGAACTTGCCTTTGGCCTCAGCCTGATATGGAAGAATACGTCTCAACACTTGCTGACCCACTTCGAACTTTCATGGATGCACCTTCTTATTATATGCTCTTGCCATTCTCTGTTGATACAATTGGCCATGACGCACTGCTGCCAATATTTTCTCATCGATCAAACTCAATTGCTCCAGGCGGGTTTTTACCCATTCATCATCATCAATTTCGGCTTCTGCGACAATCCGAAGGGATGGGATTTCCACTTCCGCAGGTATCACTGCCTCGGTGCCATATACCAACAAATAAGGAGTCGCCCCTACTGAAGTACGAACAGTAGTGCGATAACCAAGCAATGCAAAAGGCAGCTTTTCATGCCACTGTCTAGAACCCTCCACCATTTTCCGAAGTATCTTCTTTATATTCTTGTTGGCCGCCTCAACTGCTCCATTTGCCTTGGGGCGGTAAGGGGTGGAATTGCGATGTATAATCTTGAACTGCTGACATACCTCTTTCATCAGATGACTATTGAGTTTAGCCCCATTGTCTGTAATGATCACCTTTGGTATCCCAAACCGACAAATGATATTTGAGTGCACAACATCAACCACCGCTTTCTTGGTTACCGACTTGAATGTTTTGACCTCAACCCACTTGGTGAAATAGTCAATGGCTACCAGAATGAACCTGTGCCCATTTGATGCTGCTGGCTCAATTGGCCCAATGACATCCATGCCCCACGCAACAAAAGGCCATGGTGCAGACATTGTGTGCAATTCCGATGGTGGAGAGTGAATGAAATCTCCATGCACTTGACACTGATGACATTTGCGCACAAAACTGATACAATCCCGCTCCATAGTAAGCCAATTATAGCCGGCTTAGAGAATCTTCTTCACCAACACGTACCCACTCATATGCGGCCCACAAACTCCCGAATGTACCTCGATCATGATAGTTGTGGCCTGTTTAGCGTCTATGCATCTCAAAAGCCCAAGATCTGGAGTTCTTTTGTACAATACCCCTCTACTGAAGAAAAATCCACTTGCTAACCGTCGAATTGTTCTCTTTTGATCACTTGTGGTATGTATTGGATACACTCCCATTCTGATGTATTCCCTGATATCGTGGAACCACGGCTCACCATCAAGTTCTTCTTCCACCTTATTACAGTAAGAATGTTGATCGCGGACCTGAATCTACAAAGGGTCCACATAAGCCTTATCTGGATGATGCAACATTGACGCCAAAGTAGCCAAAGCATCAGCAACCTCATTATGAATCCTCGGAATGTGCCTGAACTCTATTGATTGGAGCCGTTGACAAAGATCATGCAAACATCGTCGGTACAGTATAAGCTTCAAATCTCATGTTTCCCATTCTCCTTAAATCTGGTGTACCAGAAGGTCCGAGTCCCCCATGACCAAGACTTCCTGGACACTCATGTCTACAGCCAACCTCAAACCCAAGATACATGCCTCATACTCGGCCATGTTGTTAGTACAGTAGAAACGAAGTTGAGTCGTAACAGGGTAGTGTTGCCCTGTTTCAGAAATAAGTACCGCTCCTATCCCAACACCCTTCATATTGGCAGCCCCATCAAAGAAAAGTTTCCATCCTTGCTTCTCAATTTGTTCCAACTCATCAAGATGCATTTCCTCTTCATCAGGGAAGTATGTCTTCAAAGGTTCATATTCTTCATCTACCGGGTTCTCAGCCAAATGGTCAGCCAATGCCTAAGCTTTCATCGCAGTCCGAGTCACATAGACAATGTCAAATTCCGTGAGCAAGATCTGCCACTTTGCGAGCCTCCCTATGGGCATAGGCTTCTAAAAGATATACTTCAACGGGTCCAACAAAGAGATAAGGTAAGTAGTATAAGATGACAAGTAATGTTTCAACTTCACTGCTACCCAAGTTAGGGCGCAACACATCCTCTCAAGATGAGTGTACTTAACCTCGTAAGATGTGAACTTCTTGCTGAGATAATATATGGCCTGCTCCTTCCTACCGGTAATGTCATGCTGACCCAACACACAGCCAAATGAATTGTCCAAATCCGTCAAATACAGAATCAAAGGCCTCTCTGGTTCTGGCGGGACCAATACCGGTGGGTTTGAAAAATACCCCTTTATCTTATCAAATGCTTCTTGACACTCGTCTGTCCACTTGACTGCAACATTATTCTTTAACAGCTTGAAGATAAGCTCACACGTTGTCGTAAGCTGAGCAATAAACCTGCTGATGTAATTCAACCTCCCCAACAAACTCATCACCTCAGTCTTGTTCCTCGGAGGTGGCAATTCTTGGATGGATTTGATTTTTTATGGGTCCAATTCAATACCTCGACGGCTGACTATAAATCCCAATAATTTTCCAGATGGAACACTGAAAGCGCATTTTGCATCATTGAGCTTAAGATTGTACCTGCGAAGCCTTTGCAAGAACTTTCTCAGATCCCTGACGTGGTCAAACTGCTT